TCCAGTATATTACCTCTTGCGTTAACTATGGGCGCATTAACGCTCGGCACGATAAAAGGCGTTTTCCGCTCTTGTAATATAAACTACTGCTACTTTATGGGTTATCTTCTGTGTCGTTAGAATCAATTGTTTGTAGATTAATAAATAGCAAGCTTAGAGTTTCATTAACTGTCGATGGGCCGATCGTTCGGAGATATCAGCGAGTTTTTAGCTTGTTTTTAAGCTTAATTTGTACAACAATTAAATATTTGGTTGTTTTGGATCTTCATTAACGTTTAACCCCATTTTGTGAATAAACTCAAGATCAAGATGGACCTCAACAATTATTTGTTTTTAAGCGCTTTTCGTGGTATTTTAGTATAGGAAAACTCCGGCAGGAGAGACCTTTAACTTAGAGCATAGATTGAATAAACTGAAGAAGCATCTGACAAAGAAAACCTCGATCTGCTTCTAGCGATTCAGCTTCAAGCGACCGTAAGAACAGCTTACTTTCTCGCTATTTAAACCTGTGCACTGTAGTTTTATACGAAGCTATAAGTCTAGAAAATCTCTGCAATTAATCAGGTGATTTAGCAAAATTAGACAGAGTTCCCATTAGATACTTTCGCTAATTAGCGATTGTAGTCTATTGGCGTTTCTCTCTCGCAGATGTGCTAATGGACGAGTTCGTTCGCCATGTTACTCCTCTAACCCCGTCCGAGTTAACAGGCGGCTACGAGGAACTCGAAGCCGTTACGGATGCTTGAGACTTGTTGCAGAGAGGGCAATGCGAGGCGTCAGGCGAGAGGAACATTCATCCTTCGATCGAGGCGCCCCAAGTTCCGGTTCACACGATCTCGGTGTCGGAAACTGTGGTGACGTCGCTAATACAGTCGCCCTCAGTGATGATATTTTGCTTTTGATGGAAGGATCGCCTTTCGAATCCTTGAATTGCGACGGTGATATCCAATCTAATTTAGCCAGTAGTCTGGTATCTATTAGAACATTACTACCAGTAAATCCACCCTAGAGCATCGTCTCCAACACGGTGTCTGTATGTTTAGTAGGCACTCTCCATGCGAACCATTCCATATCCTTTACCAAAGTACTGCTCCATGTGTACAAAAATTGGCCACCTGTCCCCACAATGCCCTATCCCAGCTCACCAGCAGCCCCCCCCCCCCCAATCCAGATTCGCGGACACACCGTTTCCGGTGAATCATCCCCACTCCCCCAAGCTGCCCATTACCTCCGTCAAACCCATTTCCTACCTACCGTAGCCCTCACCTTTATCCATATTTTCCCGACCACCGCACCGTTAGGAGGTCATCCAGGCAATTGACCAATCTTGCCTCAGCCACAGAACCTTTGCGTCCTGCGTAAACGTGGTAGCGGTCTCCACTCCTTACATCATAATTTCTTAATTTCACAATCATGGATTTCGTTCTCGTGCCATCAAATCTTGTGGCATACGCCGCAAATGTCCCCTGATAATAACCTCCATTACTCCGACCAAATACAGATCTTTACAATAACTGAAAAAAAATAGCTCCCAACACCATCCTCTCTTTCACACCATTCCCTCCGGGTGTTCGAACCTGGGTTGAGGTGAAATTCTCATCTGTGGCAGAGTTGGAATTACCTTAGGCCAGTTTCGAGCATTCTGCCAGCTACTCAGAATTAGGTTTTCCTGCAGTTTTCCTAATTCGTAAGGTAAATACCGGAGTAGTATAGAACAACTTAAGACCTTCTGCAGAGGAACCTCTAAAAAGCATTATGCGGGTCACTCTGTAATTGGGCGCAAGCCTATTGAAGGCCCAGAACAAGAGAGGGATAATAAATAAATAAAATTAATTCTTCCTGTGTACCTCCGGCACCTAAATGTGTAGCCGCCACCGTCCCATTTCCCAACCATGTGTACGTTTGTAGTGTTTATCATCTCTCAGATAACACTCTTCTGGATTATCTCTTTTTCTATATCTCCATCCGCCACCACGCCGTCGCCACTGGCGTCAGTTCAACATACTGCCGGGAAACAGGAAAGTCCAACAAACTCACCTAACAGACAAAGGTGGTCCACGCACAAAAACAAGGCAGATTTCTTTACCTGCAACAAACATTTCAATCACCCGACATTCTCAACTATGATCTCGACTTTAAGCTAGTGATTGAACAGCTGTTAGTTTACTTTCGAGATAATGTTCCTACCGACCTATTTCTCTTTTGAACTGCATCAATATAACTTTCGAACAGATTACACCGGTCTACAGCATTTTTGCGCATGGGAATTACCTTATTTGTATTGCTTGTATAGCCACAAATAAGAATTAGAACAAAAAAAGGTTATGTATTTGTTTTTGTGTGAAAAAAATGCAAAAAACCAAAAAAATAAAAATACCTGTAAAATCTTACTTACATAGGAATGATTTATTAAAAGGTAACGTTCCTACATTTGAAGGGACAAGTGGATAAAAGGGGCTATGTGACATTTTTGATTTTTTGCGTTTTATGTCATGGATGAAGGATTATGTGTAAAGGCAGCATTTGCACCCTTCTAAGCTGTGAAAGTATAACTATTTTATAAGATATTTAGTTGATAATGGGGTTATGTAACGTCATATTCACAAACTATACTGGATAAAGGAGTCAAAGTCACATAGCACCTTCATCCATATTGAAATAATAATAAAATGTTACTTGGCCCCTTTATTCATTAGCGTATAGGTCAAGATAACCTTAAAATCAGTGTGTAAAGGTGGAATGTTGTTTTTCAATAGTAGGTATGTTTTTTCGTGGACAATTAATGGTTTTGAAAGCCCTCGAAGGTTCAGAACCGAAAGTACTTGTTCAAAAGATAGGTAAGTACATTAAAAACAAAAATATTTTTGTTCATTGCTTTTATTGTTAACATAACTTAGATGTGCCTTAAATTTAATGAGTAGGTAATTCTTATTTTGTTCTTAGGGGACCCCGATCTTGGAGTTGAGGGTCCACCCTTTCCTTCAGAAGGGACTAATTTGAAGCGTTCAATTTTTCATGAAGGTAAGTGTGACGGCCAGTTATATCTTTAGGCAGTATGAATTGTGTCGTGTATAGATTTGGCCACCGGGAGGTAATTTCTCTTGTTACCGCTTGGAGTCCCTATTTCGTTACCTTGGGGTTTACGATTAAAAGCCGGTGGTGGGACAAGGAAATGGCGATCGGAGTGCATTTTGTGTTAGCACGCCGAAAAGTAATGTTGCGCATTTAAAAAGTTGGAATTAATTGTGTTCATTGAGGCATCCGTTTGGATATTGGAATTGGATATTTGGGGAGTTTGTCTCAATGCCGCTTAGCGGGATTTAATTGATATCCACTTAATTGGTGCTTTGGTCTGGCACTCGGCTTGGCCGGATTTTATGCAACAAGGCGTTTATCGGCTTTTATTTTGATCATCCGCTTCAGGTCGAAGGTAAGAGTCATTCCTTATTCTTTTGTGGTCATTTCGTTATTTCATACGGGGTATATTTGCAGCGGATTTTGGGTGACGGATCTACATTACCACGTGAATCTAGTATTTGTTTTGTCACTTATCGGCGTGGGAACAGTCGTGGGTCTCGTGTAATCAGACTGGAGTTTTGGTATTGGATGTGAGCTGCGAAGGATATGTAAAACTGTTCGAGTTCGAGTTCCGGGGAGACCTGTTTCACTGTGATTGTCTGTACCGCATGGAGGGTTATTTGTCGTAACGTCGGAGGAATTTTATGCATGGCTGTAATGGAGGGAAGCCGTTAACTGGGTGGAATCGTCGTGTACCAAGTTCGAGCGCGACACCTGTCCGAGAACTTGATCGTTCTGGTCGGAGACAGCTCCGAGACATCGTTGCCGATTTTGCTGTTCACCGGTACCGTCCCATTGCGATCCCTTCGAGTTTACCGATAGGCGAGGACCCGCACAGCTAAGTGGATTGTTGGTTGTTTCGTGTACATGCTGGTGACACCTCTGGAAAACGTTACTTTTGATGCGAGGTTTGGAATTTCACGTAAATTATTACTAGCAGAGAATCTGATAGATTCTATTTAGCTGTTGGCTTAACCCGACTTGTTAGTAATTAGTTGAAGTCCTTCGTATCTCAAGTAAGATACTGGGAGATTGTTGGTTGTGTAATTAATATTGGAACCTGGCATAGCCGGTTAAATGTAACGATTTTGAATTCACTTAATTAACATACCTATTGAATAGCGTCACTGGCATAATCAAGTACATTTATTTGTGTGTCACATATTTTTCTTGTGGGAAATTATTTGTTTCCTTTATTAGGGTGGGGACCAGTGATAGCTGCTGGTAATTGTCATACCAATTAAGGGGTTTTATATATGTTATTTATGCATGATAGATTTTTAATATGGGTAACCTTCTGTGATTTCGCACTGTGGTAAGTTTGATATATATATTTATTTATTGAATTTTGTGTGTTGGGTGGCAGCAAATCAGGCGGCCCAAATTGATTCTTTGTGATGCATCACCAGGTATCTTAAGTATTTATGTGTAACTGATCGGTGTAATAGTTCGTATTGCGTACATTTGCTTGGTACGTTTTGAGGTAGCAGATAAATCGGAAATCCGATATTATTCCCTGCTACTCGGGTGTTCGACGTCGAAGTCATAGGGGGGGTTGATTGTTGTCCTTTAAATTTTGGATTATTTATTTGCTTGTTGTCATTTTAAAAGGGGGGGGGGAGATTTTGGGTACTTGATTCGGCGACCGTTTAATTGGTTTGTGTGGCACGAGTTGCAGATTCTATTATTTACTCTTGTTATTACTTACAATTTTTTTCGAGATTTGTTAAATAGTTATTAAAGAGGGCTAGTCAAGTTGTATGTATTTGTGTTTTGATTGCGAGAGTGTGTGAGTACCCTGGGTACGTGAGCTGTCGCTCGATTCTTTCTTTAAATTACCATCTACGGACCGACTCCCGGTACTAGAGCAGCGGTTGGGAATCCGAGTCGGTGGCGCCCACAACTTTTTTTATCACTTTTAGGATTTGGTTCCGGCCAACGTGGAACCCCACCCGTCTCCCTGAGCTAGAGCAAGGGTGCGCTGCCTATACTTATTTGAGTCGAGTTGACAGTGAGAGGAGGAAATTGCAGGTAGGGTGGTAGCGCCATAGGTGACTGCATTCTTATTTGGTTACTGTATTCTGCTTCGGCTATTTGCCAAGTTGGCGTTGCAGATTTTGGCGCCCAACGTGGGGCTCGATTTTACTTTTTTGGGTGCATGATTCCGCTTGTGCTTGAATTTGTCTTTGTAGATTAATTGTGTGGTTCCTTTTGTTAAATTTTCTTCTGGGGATAGTTACTGCTATATTCTATAGGGATAATGGCTAAGTTATTGTTGGGTATTAATCATCTGAAAAAGGATGAACTTCAGTATGAATTGAGAGTTAGGGGTGTGAGTGAGACGGAGATGACTGTAGATGAAATGCGTAGTAGTCTGAGGTCCCTATTTAAGTTGGAAGCTACCGATCGTTCATTAACATACCCCGAGTATGATTTAGCAGCCGAGGGAGAGTTGAGTACTATTAAGGACAAGTATGAGGAATTAGTTGGTCTAATCGAGAACGTAGAGGAGGAGCGGCGAGCTAGTGTTTATCGGAGGTGTACGTCACGAATATTACATTTAATTGGGCGGGTTAATCGTATTCCTATGGGGGCTACTCAGAGCAAGGAGACTCTGCAAAGTCGCAGTAAGTGGTTAGGGAAGGTGTCAGCATTGCTCAGTAGGGTGGAAGGTGGGAAGCAACCTGTGAAAGCGAGTACTCCGAATTTAAGTGTGATTGCCAGGTCGAGTCATCCGGTTGTACAGGAAGATTTATCTGAGGAGTCGGATTCTTCGCCTGTAGAGAGTGGAGGGGCGACGGGATTTAAATTTCCCAGAACTTCGAAACCACAACCTGTAGAGAAATGGGGGCTGAAATTCTCAGGTGATCCGAAGGGTACATCAGTTATGTCCTTCCTTGAGCGGGTCGATGAGTTGCGGAAGGCGAGGCATGTGTCTGAGAGAGAGTTGTTTGCATCTGCGCTGGATTTATTCGAGGGTAAAGCGTTACTATGGTATCGATCAGTGGTCACTAGGTGTGCAAGTTGGACCGAATTGTCTGAATTGCTTCGGAAGCATTTCCTACCACCTGATTACAGGCCGCGGTTATTTCAGGAGATTTTAGCACGGGTTCAGGGACCGAGTGAGCCTTTCATTGAATATTTTTCTTGCATGACCACCTTGTTTTCTCGCTATGGGGACATACCGCTTGATATACAATTAGATATTCTTGTACGCAATTTGGCACCTTTTTATACCATGCAGCTACCAACCGTTAAATCCTTGAGAGAACTGGAGGAGGAGTGTTTGCAGCTGGAAACAAGGAAATATAGAGCGGATCATTACCAGGCACCCTCTCGGAAAAGTCACTTAGCTTCTGTTGAGCCTGAACTTTCTTGTGTGGTTACACCTGGTGTGTCTGAGGCTAGGGTGTCGAATTCGAGGTCTGGGTCTAACACTGGTGACGTTAACTGCTGGAACTGCCTGAAGACTGGGCATTTAGTTAGATTTTGTGATCGACCGCTTAGGAAGCACTGCTTTTCCTGTGGCCAACTTGATGTTACAACTCGTGAGTGTCGTCGCTGCAACCCTAGGTCAAAAAACGAGTAAGAGAGATGATAGATGTGGGCCCTATGTCATCTCGGAGATTTCAGGAGGCCAATAGGGTGAAATGTTTGCTAGATTTTGTATTCTCGCATGTGCAGGGTGATGAGAGGCCTCATATTAGGGTCAATATTCTCGGAAAGGAAATGCTAGGATTACTTGATTCAGGTGCCACTAGGAGCGTGATCGGGGAGAGAGGTTGTAAAATTTTAAGGAGTACAGGATTGCCATTATTGAAGTCCGAATTCTCAAATATTACTGTTGCAAATGGCCAGGTATGTGCGTGCGTGGGGATTCTTCGAGTGCCAATTAAATTGAAGGAGACGGTTAAAGTAATAGATTTGTTAGTCGTGCCGACCCTGGGCCAACTTTTAATACTGGGGGTGGATTTCTGGACTCAGATGGGCATTGTGCCGAATCTACGGGCGAAGGAATGGAAATTTGCGGCTGAGGGAGAGGTCGAGGTGAATTCATTAGATCCCGTGAATTCGAGACAAAACCTGAACCTGGACCAGGAACGCAGGCTGAGTGAGGCTATTGAGTGTTATTTTGGCCATATGCCCACGTCCTTTAGTTGCACCGATTTGGTGGAACATAAAATTGAACTTCTCGATAATGTGGAACCAATCAAACAGCGTTACTATCCCGTTTCACCGGCACTATTGAAGGAGAGCTAAAAGAAATGTTAGACAAAGGGGTTATTGAACCATCAACCAGTCCCTGGAGTAGTCCGATTGTTATGGTAAGGAAGAAGGATGGTTCTTGGAGGTTCTGCGTTGATTTTCGTCAATTAAATAAAGTCACTCGTCGAGATGCTTATCCTCTGCCTTTTGTATCTAATATTTTAGACCGGTTACGGGACGCTCGCTATTTAACTAGTCTCGATGTGCAGTCGGCATATTGGCAAATACCGTTGTCCGAAGATTCTCGACCTTTAACCGCGTTCACAGTACCAGCTCGAGGTCTTTTCCAATTTAAACGTCTTCCTTTTGGGTTGCACACAGCACCAGCTACTTGGCAACGACTAATAGACCGAGTGGTGGGGGTAGATTTGGAACCTTTCTGTTTCAAATATCTTGACGATATCATAATTGTTACTCCTACTTTCGACCAACATATTGAGGTTTTGACTAAAGTACTGGAGCGGTTGAGAGCCGCAAAGTTAGTCCTGAATCGGGATAAGTGTCACTTTTATCGGAGTGAGCTAAAATACTTAGGCTATGTCATCAACGAATATGGACTTCAAGTCGACCCGGATAAAATTTCAGCCATTCTTAATATTCCTACACCGACTAAAGTTTCGGAGGTTCGTGCTGATAGGTTGTTGATAGGTACTGCGTCGTGGTATCGTCGGTTTATCCCGAATTTTTCAACTCTAATTCAACCACTTACAGACTTGTTAAGGAAATCGTCGAAATTTAAATGGACGGAGGCGCAGGATGTGGCTGTTAACCAACTTAAAAGTTGCCTGGTGTCTGCTCCAATTTTGTCATGTCCAGATTACAATAGGCCGTTCGTAATTCAAACCGATGCTAGTGCGTTTGGTATAGGGGCAGTGTTGAGTCAGGATTATCCGGAAGAAGGGGAAAAGGTGATTTGTTATTTATCTCGATCCCTCACCAAACAAGAGCGTAAATATTCTACTACGGAACGTGAGTGTCTGGCAGTCCTTTGGAGTATTGAGAAGTTACGACCATATATTGAGGGTACCCATTTTAAGGTCATCACTGATCATTGGTCTCTCTGCTGGCTGAATAATCTAAAGGAACCATCGGGGAGGTTGGGTCGTTGGAATCTTCGTCTACAGCAATATTCTTTTGACCTCGTTCATCGGAAGGGTAAGGAGCATGTCGTCCCTGACATGTTATCTAGGTCTGTACCCGTTATTGATTCGTTAAAGGTAGGAAAGGCCGATGAGAATGAGATACGAGATGCGTGGTATCGTCGAATGATTGTAAACGTGAACGAACATCCCTTGAAATACTCAGATTGGAGAGTCGTAGGAACTCAGCTCTACAGATATTTTGGGGAGGGTATTTCCGAGTCAGTTGAGGATGAGGGCTGGAAGTATGTCGTCCCTAAAGAGCAACGGTTGGAGATTCTGCGAGCGTGTCATGATGACGTTCATTCTGGTCACCCGGGGGTGTTCAAAACTTATAGACGGGCTAACCAACGTTACTTTTGGCCGAAGATGAAGTCAGATATCGCAAAATATGTTCGTAGGTGCACAGTGTGTCTCATTAATAAACCCGAGCAGCAGAAACCTGCAGGTCTGATGGCTGTTAGGAAGGTGGTTAAAGAACCGTTTCACGTAATTTCTTTAGATCTGATTGGACCCTTGGTTAGATCGAAGCGGGGTTTTAAATATATCCTGGTGATGGTTGACCTGTTTAGTAAATTTGTTGTAACTGTTCCTTTGAGAAATGCGACTGCGAAACCTATTTGCACGGCTGTGGAGGACCAGTGGTTCCTGATGTTTGGTCAGCCTAAGATTCTTATTTCAGATAATGGGGTCCAGTTTCGTAGTGCTGAATTCCGGAAATTACTAGGAGAGTATGGGACCAAGCAGATATTCACTGCGAATTACCATGCCCAAGCGAATCCGACCGAGCGCGTGAATAAAACGTTGGAGACCATGCTTAGGTGTTATATTAAAGAAAATCAACAGGATTGGGATAAACACTTGTCAAAGGTGACTTGTGCTATTAGAACTCAGGTCCACGAGGCGACGGGGCATACTCCTTATTTCATAGCTTTTGGTCGAGATTTTGCGACAAATGCGGTAGGGGATAGGCCACTTATAGCTGATTTTGAGATTGACCGATCGGAGGATAGGGACGTTAGAGCGAAGGCGTTGCGTGAGCTTTTCGACAATGTTGCGCTTCGGTTACAGAGAGCGGCGGAGAAAAACAAACGTCATTACGATCTGAGGCGCCGTCCTGTTATTTATAAGGTTGGCGAAAAGGTTTATCGAAGGAATTTTCCTCAATCGGATGCCACGAAACAATTCTCCTCGAAACTGGCGCCAAAGTATATTGGGCCCTTTGTTATCTTTCAGAAAGTTTCCCCGTGGATGTTCGAGCTACAAGACACGGATGGTAGGTTTAGAGGCACTTGGCATGCAAAAGATTTGAAACGCTGTCCAGATTAGTGAGTCGCTTTTATATATTCGGGTTGGTTGGTTGGGGACGTTGGACGGTCCATTTAGGGGTTGTATCCACTCTTTATTTTCGTTTCGGATACAATTCCCTGCTCGAAGATCAGAGCCCTTCCTTTCTATTCTTTATTTCTTTGTTTTTTTTGTGGGTGGGTTTCCTGTACGTCTATCTCTATGTACTCTTCTAGGTTGGGAATTTTCGGGGTTATATGTTTTGGGTGGGAGGGTTTTTAGTCTTCATAGGAAGAAATGGGTGGGGTGTCGAGGATCTAGGATCGGTCCCCTGGATGTTTGGAGTGTGCTTGCATGTTGGTGTGACTGGGCAAAGGCAGTCTACCTTCCCAATTTATTCTCTTTCCTTATTCCGCTTGTGATCCCAAACTTAGTGATAACCCTTTTTATTTTGATTCCCAGTTAATTTATTTTTTTTTGTTTAGGAGTTCTATCGCTTCACAATAGGCTTCTTGTTTTGCTGCGGTCTTGAGGCTGAGTTGCGGGTGTCGATGTTGAAGAGACTAAACTAATCTTTGGCATACCGTTCTATTTTCTACTATTCTTGCTTCCTTTCATTTCCCCTCTTTGGGAGAATTCTGGGCCTTTCGGGGTGTAAGGCGCTGGCAGCTGTGCCCTCCTGCCGATCCTCTCTTTTCCGTAGGCTAGGCAGAAGCTCGGGAGTGGTGTGCCAGTGCAGCAATCTTTCCTATAACTTTATTTCGCCTCTTTTAGGCAACCTTCTTGTGATGCCACTGAGGGTCGTTTTGTCTTGGATACCATCGGTGTTCGTGGGTCAGAAGATTGAGCGTAGCAACCCTTGCGTTTTTTTATTTTTATTTTTGGTTAGTTTTATCCTAGTGCCGGCCGATTTGCCGAAGGACTCTATGTGGGCGTCGTGAGTCAGACTGTAGTTTGTGTATGCATGGGAAGGGGTGTATCTAGGTTTTGGTATGGATGTTGAACTAGGAGATTTGGTGTTAGATTTTTCGGGAGTGTTGTCCTTGTGTTGAGTGCTTAGTCGATATGGTTTTGGAGATATTGGTCACCTAGGGGTGGGTTTAGGTCGTTTTTGGTAAGGGTGGGATTTGTAACGGCCGAACATTCATTGCCAGACCTTAAACTAGTGGCAAAATTACATAGTAACGGCTGTCTTTTAAATGGCAAAGCTCTTACCTGTAGCATATCCACAAATAACAGTTACCTTACTTTGTAAAATGAGCAATGTCATTTTAGTTATTTGGTTTCGCGAAATAGTCTTGTTGAATATTATTCGGCACCAATTATTGTTGGCTAAATGTTCTTCTGGTTTAGTTCAAATTTAACGCTTTCTGACAACTTCACTCATGGCAATCATTTAACAAATGTCATTTGCCAAAGTTGCCAAGCAACACACTTATATGTCAGTTTTAACTTCAAAATTTTCTCTGTTGTAATTTAACATTCGACAAAACATTTTCCGAATTACATATCTGTAATTCCAAAAGAGAAATAAAAAGTGTAAGAACTATGAGCGTTTCAGCAACAGAAAATGGCCGTACCTTGCTTGAAAAGCTATGAACTGCGAACACCAATTTGGACGTGATATTTCACTTTTCGAATTTTTGTAGGTACATTTCTCTGAAAGATCGACGTGATGAATGTCAGTATTTCGCCGACCATTTTACGTCTCCTTGGAAAATAAAGTGGTAACCATAGACAAACTTTGTTAGTTGCATAGGAAATTTGTGAAACTACGTAGTCGTCTGGGCGTTACTAACGTATCAAACAAGATTGTTTTGTTAACTTCAAAATTTTAGTTTGACCTTTCAGAGAATTTTATTCCGAAATTATGGCATGTAGAAGACGTAGACGTAGAGAGAAGGGCACAAACGTAATCTGCAAAAGACGAAAAAACTCCCGCTTTTCGAAAAATCCCTTTTTAAATTTCTTACAAGAGCTGCGTAAGAAATACCCCACGTGGCTTTCATGCAAGCTGACGCTCGAAGGAGCTCGCCGGTGGTGCAACATGAGTGAATTTCGCAGAAGAAAGTACCAGTGCAGAGCAGCACAGGCCGGAAGGGCTGCTAAGCCCTTTCGAACTAAGTGTAAACCTGGGCGAAGGAAGCTCAGATGTAAGCTGCAGAAAAGACGGCGCACGTGCAAACGTAAAGTAAAGAGGCGTACTTGTAAAAGGAAAAGAAGGAGTTGCAGACGACGTTGTTCGAGAAGGAAGAAGAGAGTGTGCAGAAGGAAAAGTAGTTGCCCCTCGAGTTGCCCTAAGGCTCAGACATCGGTCGTATCGCAAATAGCTGAAGCTAATAGCGACTCTATAATAATGATGGATTATCATCACGTCTAAAAATTTTACTTATGTGCTAATTATACCTGTATAGATGTTTTTTTTATATTATACAAAACCTTTACAGTTTTTATTTGGTATTTGAACACAGCAAAAATTGTAACATTGAACAACTTGACTCTAACATCAACAAGGATTGAAACATTTTGGTAGCGATAAACGACGGAATAATGAACAAAGGGGGAAGCATCGAGGATCCGGTAAGCGGACCTGGCAGAGACTCCTTAGGGCACTGCAACATGGGTCACTAAACCAGCTTCCAGGGGATTTGTTTTCTATGAACAGGTTTTGGAGTCCATGACAAAGGTAATACTTGCTGTTCCAGCGGGAAAGTTCTTTAGCACGTTACTTTGATGTTTCTTCTCCCTCTCCGGAGTTGTAAAAGTGTTTAGATCTACGCTGTTGACAGCGGTAAACCTTGAGCATTTGTAGAGGAGCGGCGGTTGATCTACTCTATGATGCAGCGGTAGTATATAAAAGTTGGAGCAGATTAGATTTTTACGCTGATGCACATCCTTTTGTACACCTCGGTACCTCGTTTCAAAGTGCTGTAGAAGTGTTGAGCTCTTTGTAGGCTGTTTACCTCCTTGGGAATGTGCAGACTTCAGCGCCGGTGTACCTATATTAAAAACTACTTTTGATGAGCGGTTGGTTACGTAGAGTCGGCGGTGGTTATGTGTCCATTTCGTAACCGATGTTAACGGAGGGCTGGTCGTTTCCCTGAATCTTCTTGTATGGTACTTGACATGTGCGTGTGCGGGTCTTGTTGCCGAATTTGAAATGATACCAGCACGTCACGTCATTCCGGCTGCGTGATCTGCTCCTTTCGCATTCAGGTTTTCGGTCTCTGCTCCTGCTGTCTCGTGTATATTTTCAAGGCGACTACGTCTTCTGCTCCCTTACTAACGTGGGGGTGGTAAATAGCAGTAACCATAATGCGCAAATACTAAAAATAACGTCGTAACGTCATAAGAGTCGGTAATTTGTAAAGGTATTCTTACTTGTGTAAAACTTTCCTCTCGTCAGAAAAGTGACGTTTATCGCCAGACCTTGAACTACTGGCAAAATGGTATTACTAGCGGCAGTCTTTTAATAGCAAAGCTCTTACCTGTAGCCACAAATCACAGTTACCTTATTTTGTTAAATGAGCATGTCTGTTTGGATGTTTGATTTCGTCTCGAATATTATTCGAGAAAAATTTGTTTTATCAATTTTCGTCGGGTTTAGTTCTTTGACAATTTCACTCATGGCATTCATTTTACAAATGTCATTTGCGAATTTGCCAAGCAACAGGCTTTCATGTCATTTTTGTCTTCAAAATTTTCTCTCTTGTAATATGTAATTATTAGTTTATTACTCAAGCCATTTATTGCTTGAGTACACCCTAGAACTGCGCTCCTTTTAAGTAATCAAAAGCACTAGTATTAAAAAAATGGGTGTTTTGAAACCCGAAAATGCCTATACCTTGCTTGGAAATCGTGAACCCCAAGTTGTCCATTTTATTTCAGATTTCGAATTCTTGCACATTTCTCTTCTTTCTGAAATATCGACGTGTAAATGTCTGTATTTCTCCGGACATGCTACGTATCCTTGGTAAATAAAGTGGTAACCATGGACAGACTTTGTAACTTGCATGGGAAATTTGTGAAACTACGTAATCGTCTGGGCGTTACTAACTTATGAAACAAAATTGTTTTTACGTCTCCTTGGAAAATAAAGTGGTAACCATAGACAAACTTTGTTAGTTGCATAGGAAATTTGTGAAACTACGTAGTCGTCTGGGCGTTACTAACGTATCAAACAAGATTGTTTTGTTAACTTCAAAATTTTAGTTTGACCTTTCAGAGAATTTTATTCCGAAATTATGGCATGTAGAAGACGTAGACGTAGAGAGAAGGGCACAAACGTAATCTGCAAAAGACGAAAAAACTCCCGCTTTTCGAAAAATCCCTTTTTAAATTTCTTACAAGAGCTGCGTAAGAAATACCCCACGTGGCTTTCATGCAAGCTGACGCTCGAAGGAGCTCGCCGGTGGTGCAACATGAGTGAATTTCGCAGAAGAAAGTACCAGTGCAGAGCAGCACAGGCCGGAAGGGCTGCTAAGCCCTTTCGAACTAAGTGTAAACCTGGGCGAAGGAAGCTCAGATGTAAGTTACAGAAGAGACGACGCAAATGCAAACGGAAAATAAAGAGGCGTACTTGCAAACGAAGAAAAAGAAGGATGCGCAGACGAAGTTGTTCAAGGAAGAGGAAGCGGGTGTGCAGAAGGAAAAGCAGTTGCCCTAATCAGTCTCAGACATCGGTCGTATCGCAAGAAGCTTCTGAAGCGAGTCTGTAACAATGCTGATTATACTTTTATAGATTTTTTATATTATACAAAACCTTTTTTATCTATGCTGTTTGATTCAAAAAGAAACTGTTGGGAATGTAATTTAGTGGCACAGATACATACATTTCTCTGAAAGCATAAAAGCAAATGCCCAAATACCTTTTTGAACTAAAATACAGAACGATAGTAGAAACATCCGGCAACGCACGAGGTTCTTAGATTTCAACAAACAGTATTCCACAGTGAAGGTCAAGTGAAGCATCAATTCCTGTTTGTGTGTCCTTCCCGTTATTTTCATCGCTTCTCCAGAACACTCTAATACGTAAGCCCCGTTTTTGGGTGTCATTTTGTAACGGATGTTACAAATACCTCTTCTACTCCATCCTACCTCTGGCTAATCTTCGCATACCTTAATTAAATTACGGGTGGTTCTTGTTATGGAATTATGTATAATGTGCGCCCGATAGCTATCAGTTAGTAATTCTCTCCTGGCCTCTTAAGGAAAAAGGTAAAGGGATAAATAATAAGTCAATAATCTTTATTAAATTATGAAACGGTTCTTATTTTCTTTAAGGTATGTTCTTGCTGCAATAGAATAACATAATTAGTAAATGGGGTTTGAAGCGTAACAATCCTGTACAGCAAATAGTTAAGAAACATTGATTCGCAAAACATACTTCGCATCGATTGTTCCTAAATACCTTTATCGTTTGTGCACCACCAGTTCTAGACGAGTTCGGGTCACGGCTTTCACTCACAAGGAGAGTTATCTTGCATCCAGCTGTACTATGCACGGACCGACTATAGACTTCCCGCCGTTGTTAGGAACGCCAGGGAAGGACCCCACTACCAGCAAACGCCCCATTCGCCGCAACGCCGGACGCCTCGACGAATTGTTAATAAGCACCACCAAGGGCCAGCAAAAACCACTTGTGCCTGGGCAAGCCTACCTTCCCTACATAAGCAACTGAGGCTGGTCGCTTTGGCTCAAGACGTCGCCACCGCATGTCATCACGTCCCGGCTCTGACCTAACTCCGTTCGTCAGGATCGGCGCTATCCGCACCTACCTACGCCGCTTCTGGCATCCTGGTACGCCGTGGATATGTTCAAGCTTCTTGTTTTCTTTCTTCGAAATGCTGCGAAAACCTTCGTCCGCAGCATGACGGTGGCTCGATCGATATGATTTTCGCTATTGGATTAATTTCAGTCTTCGGGATCCATTCAGAGGACTGATTGACTTAAAATTGCACCTCGCGCTTTGCGACAACGCGGCGCAGGTTCGCCCCATGTAACGCCGCTTAAAGCCTCCTGTCTCATTATTTGTCATTTAACTTTGGGTTGCGATAGACGTATTTAACTCGGATCTCTTTGTTCTTACCTTATTACAATGATCTGATTCATTTATCTCACCCTAAATATGCACACATAGTGCAGTATTTATTTATTTACTCTATTTGCATCTGAAATAGAATTGTATTTCTAAACCGCGATTTTTACTTTATATTTCCAGTTACCTTTTAGCTTCCTTAGAGCTCTTTTACACGGTGGTACTGTATGCGAAATACTGTATCTTTGTCATCAGAATTCCAGCCTTACGCAGTGAGGTACTTCGATTTTCAGTGCAGTGGCGGGCGGGTTTCTGTAAAGTCACACCACACCTGATAAAATTGACGTTGCAGAAGCCATTTTACTATACAATACATCAAAGGTGCGCTCCATTTTATGACTATTTTGTTTCTTCGGGCGGAGGTGACGAACAGCACTGACCGGTTGCTAATGAAAAGGTACCCTCCTGTAAAGAGTTCCATATGAACCAATAGCCCATCAGTTCCCTAAAGTCGTAAAATCTCCGGGCGACTGGACCTAGCGGGAAACCGAAATTTAGTCGCCGGTACTGTATGCGAGAAGTATGCGTGTGTGAACGGCTCCATAAGACGCAATGTTACAGATGTATCCGAGATACCAGTCTGCGGGTGACTGTATCAACGTGTCTTACGGTTAAATAAAAAACCGGGTTATACATAAATGAAATAATTGATTTCCTTACAATGCATAAACAAAAATTCACACACACAAGATTATAATTCCGTATCTATATAATTTAGATTGTGCATTTTTTCTACCCTATAAAATTCTCTGTACGTACGGAGGCTCGTTAGAGCTTTATTGGTGAGCCTGCGTAAATCTGGGTGGGATTTGGAGGAATGCGACAGATAAGGAGTCCAACGACGAACAAATCTACCCACGTTTCATTTTGTTTTCTCCAAACAACAGTTCACGTTATAAGGCAAATAGTAACAACAAATTTATGCAGTAGGAGGGAACCCTTTAAACGAATATACGGTTTTTTCAGATACCAAAAGTTGTTGTTGGGACATTACCACAACGCATATACGTAAATGCTACGCTGAAAAAATCGGTATGTATTTCCAAAAGGAGTTGAGTATCTAGTGATGAAGGATTATACTATGGTAACGTCTACGAACGCTAAAATAAAAATATGAACAAAGTTGCTTTTATATAAGGATACACTCCTCTATCTTCCCAATGGAAATAAAGGATCACAATCTTCATAGTCCATTTCAAAATAATGGATGAAACTAGCCTCCCATTCCTTAGCTTTACTATGTAAATGGTTATGCATTTCGACTAAAAGCACTTCAGACACACCACAATTCTGTTGAAAGCGACTACCGATAATGAATAACGAAAGGTGAGAACTGCCAACAAAAAATTCGAACGTCAATGTCAAATATTAAACAAAAACCTTTGGCATCGTTGATCGCAGCATATCCAGTTCTACAAAAGTTTACCTACCACAAGTCCATAGATCAACTTGTTCTGGGCACAAGTCTCTAATATTTTTCTCATTAAATATACCAAAAATTGGTGTTCTATTCTGTCAGTGACGTGCAAAGGAGTATTGAACAAAATGTGGCAGTACCTACCTCTGTTTGGCGTTATCATGTAGCTTATCACTACACGAACTGGGCTAGATTCCAAATAGTCTCTACCGATCTTTACAAACTCATACACAGCACAGGGTGTATTGAGTCAGCTGTCCCAAAAAAAAGACTGGTAAAAGCAGAGCTTCAGAAACTCCGAGCTGAAACGCCTAGCTTGTACAATAAATACAAGACGCAGGAGCAATGTGGGAAGAGATTGAGGTGATGCTTTCTAAAGGATCACGTCACCTTGTTGAGCAGACTAAGGCATATAGGCCCTTCACCCTCGGCTCATTCTTATTCGAAGGGATTGAAAAGGTTTTGGACTAATTCTTCAAAAGCGCGCGCTTTTTTTTATAAGCCAAGGGTTGTGAGAGAGAGACAGGAGTCTGACCAAGTGTCACTTTCGAATGTTTTTATAATTAACTGCACTGCTGATCACCATCAAACCTATAGCAATTAACAAGATATCGTCTGAAATGAACAATTAGAAGTCGGCACTGGAAAAATTTTTTATTATGGCAATTGATTTTATTTGACCCACGGCTAGCCCAGTAATAAAAATGTTTTTAAATCCCACACCTTACGGAGGTTTGGTCTCTTATCTCGTCTTACAATCTGAAATCCAATTTAATTTGATTGAACTCTAATAAATACACATGTGATCGATCAAGTTCAATTTTTCTGGCCAAGTTATTGGACTTAGAACATCGGTGTGGTTCATTAAAATAAATACAAAATGCAAACGTGATCACGTGTATTGACATTGGCTAAATTTGATACTTATCTAAAATTTATCTTCACCACATAATAAATTAATGGTAAATTTTCCTGTTCAAAATATACACATACCGCTCAATGCTAAACAAACCTTTAACCCAACTAAAGGAATGGTTTCACTAAAATTAAATGCAATATTTTCCCCATCAATGAAGCAAAATAACCAAAATCCTTTGTTTGGATTTAATTGTTATCAATAAAAACAATACAAAATCTATTTCATGGAAGTGGTAATGATTAATCGATTCCTATAGGAATATTAAAATTACTTCAAACAAAATTAATATGCAAATTCCTAAAATTAATCGATTCTCTATCAAAAGCACATAATAAAATCGTTCCAGCTAAAGCTGTCGCGATTTTATCGCACTTTTGATCTCTAGTTTTTTCCGCTGCGACAAAACTTTCCTGTAAAAATAAAATTATTCGATTAAAAATCAAGCTGTTGTGTATTTACCCCCTGTTGCTAACGTTGCTAACCATTAATGAGCTTTATTGCTACACCCGTAACTAAGGAGCACGCTAAGGAGTAATTCATGTTGTTATAAAGAGGTCGACGAAAAACACATTTATTTGATTGATTATCTTTTAAAAAAAGCATCAGCTTAAACGTAAATTCTTTACCTCACCTTTGCTCCCCATATGCGAAAATATTTATGTTTATTTTCAAATTTTTAAACAATGAGAAACTTGGGCAATACTGGAGCCTGTATTGGTGAACAAAGAAGTTTTACGATACAAATAGTAATGTTCTAATTTTACATCCCACGTGTAGGTACCTATCTATTTACCAGAGTCTTAATAAACAGTAAAGCAATGAAGGTTAATCTATTATGTCTGAAACTCCTTTAACGTAACCAAGGAGATGATAATCGTTCAAACTAAACTATTGACAGTTGTGAGCAGTATTGTAATAGTAAATTGCACCGGTAAATTTCGAAGTGAACATAAAACTAATTGAGTAGAACATGAAAGGTGTTAAATAGTATATTAAGACACAAGTGTATAATCAAGTTTTTAAAGCACGCGCAACGAGTTTAAGGGCATAGTATATTAAGACACAAGTGTATAATCAAGTTTTTAAAGCACGCGCAACGAGTTTAAGGGCACGACGCAAAGCGTAGTGCCTTTAACGTTGCAAGTACTTTAAAGACCAAGTATACACGTGTATCTTATAGTATTTTTTATTATACCTGCAGTATAATTTAAAAATAGGAAATACAATGAAATCATATTGACGTTATACTCGAATACATGTCTAATTAAGTGGGCGGATGTTCGTAATTTCACGATTGCCATGGAAATGTCACTTGACTTTGCTCATAAAAATCATCGTCTTTGTGAATTAAACGATTTCCGTTGAAAAAGATAATACACCGTCCATTAAATCGATTGTTGTAAAATCTAAACAAACGTTGGTAGGTGTAAAATCCAAATCCAGTAAAG